ATTGCGAAAGAGGTGAGGGAAATCTTTAATATTTCCATCTTAAGATAAAGTGCAACATGCCACGTTCAGATAACACAAATAGCGGACTTAAACTGATGTTTCATGTCACATTCCAATTTTTTTCCTTTTCTTCCCAGTTGACGAGCGAGCAAATAGTTTTTTTATGTTCTCCTAATTTCTATAATCATAATGTATAAAGATAGAATCAGCCGACGAGCCACAAGGTTAATCCTAGCAGAGCTTGTCCCAGTTTCAGTGACATGAAGTGACAACTATGGTCAGGGTGCAAATACATCGTAGGATACCACCCTCGCCTTTAAACCTTTTTTTTTTTCCCATGTTTTCTTTATCGTTTGCTGTTACCTTTTTAACACTCCTGAAACAGCAGCTGTATTTCTCGCAATCATATGATAAACATCTTCTTTGTTCTTTCCTCCAGCCATCAAGTCATGCAAAGAGATGTTTGACCTGAACGAGTAAGGGATAAGTAAATTGCTTTGTAACAATGATGTTACCAATGATGATGACAATAATCATGATAATAATAATAATAATAAGAAGAGTGTGTTTCTACTGGTACAATATTATAATCTTATCATTCAAGAATATTGCATAGTTAGGCCGCAGTAGCTCTCCTAAAAGGGGAAAGGCCACGCCCATAAACCTATTAGGAAAGTGCATGAACCCATATAAACTGTAAGATGAGCCTCTCCCAAGTGTTCATCAGCCAAACCCAGCTCAAGTCCAAAGGGACCTTCTCGTTGATCTTTGATTCCAGGAAATAAATTCTCCTAATTCCAAATTCTCCCAATTCCAGGAAATAAATTCATTTGGCAAGCAATTCTCGATTATTATTAAATTATTATTATTAAATTTAAATTTATACCGCGCAGTTTCTATAAAAATATTCAACTGCGCCTTACAATAAATATTAAATTAGAAATTAAAATAGAAGTTCAAAATTACAATTCTAAAATAATGCAATTCAATTATAAAAACTATAGAACTAATTAAACGCCCTATTAAATAAAAAAGTTTTGAGTCTACTTTTAAAAATATCTAAACTGGAAATAGATCTTATTGTGGTAGGAAGCAAATTCCAAAGTCTAGGGGCGGCACAACTAAACGATCTATCTGCCAGGGTCTTCTTGGATATTATCTTCGGGAAAGTTAATAAAGCTGCAGAGTCATCGTTGCGCCTTAAATTATACCTAGATGGCGGCAAGATAGATATTAAATGGCGCAAGTAATCGGGCGCCATACCATGCAATACCTTAAATGTAAGAAGAATTATTTTATATTCGATACGATAACAAACAGGCAGCCAATGTAATTCGTGAAGTAGAGGCGTGATGTGGCACGACTTTGGAGCACAATAAACCAGACGGGCACTAGCATTCATAACACGCTGTAGTTTAGACAACTGATATTTCGGTAACCCATACAAAAGGCTGTTGCAATAATCAAGTCTGCTTGTTATAAACGCATGAACTAGTGTTTCAGTGCTACTTCTAGATAAGTACTTCCTAATATGTCTGATATTATAAAGATAATAAAATGAGCTGCTGCATGTTTTGGTAATATGTACATCCATATTCAAATGCGGATCAAACCATGTGCCCAGATTACAGACTGATGAAGAAGGACTAATATTATAATCTCCGACTCTGATGCCATCGATAGACACCTTTGTGAGCTGCTTCCGTGTCCCAACAAGCATAAAATCAGTCTTGACATCATTTAGCATTAATTTCCTCACACACATCCACTGTCTAATGTCACGAATACAATTTTCAATGGCAGTGACCGCATCCAACTCACCAGTGCCAACACTAGGACTAAAGGACAGATACAACTGAGTATCGTCCGCGTAAGCATGCGCAGTTGGTAAATGGGACTCCAGGAGAGAAAACAAATCACTTGAATAGATAGTAAACAAAAGCGGGCCAAGGCAAGAACCTTGAGGTACACCCCACTTCAAATCAAATGACTGCGAAAGCGTCTCTTTTATGCAAATTCTTTGAGATCTCCCTTCCAAATAAGACTTGAACCACGAAAGAGCAGAGCCGCAAACACCTAGTTTCGTCTGAAGGGCTTTTAATAAAATCTTGTGGTCAACAGTGTCAAAGGCGGCACTCAAGTCTAATAACACCAAGAGTGATACATGCCCCTTGTTCATATTCATTAGCAAATCGTTTTTTACTTTTAACAATGCAGTCTCAGTGCTGTGATGGGAACGATAAGCAGATTGAAGCTGAGGGAAGAGATTGTTCTTAATCATGTGACACTGAATCTGATTGGCTACCACACGTTCAGTAAGTTTGGACACAAATTGCAAGTTGCTAATTGGTCGAAAATTCTTGAAAAGAGGATCAAGACCAGGCTTTTTCAATAATGGATGTACCACAGCAGTTTTCCAGGCGTCAGGAAAATATCCAGTTCGTAAGGACAAATTAACCATATTCGTTATTACAGAAAGGAGTGGGTCAAGGCAGGCAGATAACAGAGTCGCAGGTATTGGATCCAAGATGCAAGTTTTTTTCTTCCCTGATGTAATCATATCACGTATTGCTACAACCGTTGTACATTGAAAATCAGACAGTACAATATCGCTAGGTTCAGATACCAGATCAGGCTCCGACGTCGACAGAAGATGCGATGGAGAGATACCTTCCAACTTTGACCTTATATTAGCAATCTTGGTAATAAAAAACTCGCCCATGTCATTTGCAAGCAGAGAAACGTCAGTATGAGGAGGAAGAGCTCTATCCGGCTGCATATTCAGTAGACTCTTACTTGCCATAAACAGCCTCCGCTGGTCAGAACTGTTAGGCTTATTGGCCTAAGCACTGTAATTTAGCAGATACTTTAAGGATCTTGGTCGATCTTAAGGTCAAAGTTCAGGTTCTTGATTGTCCGTAATGAAAACTGCAAAGGAAAAAATTGAGATAATCCTAATACTTTCCAATACAAAAGAGGGTCGTTGACAAATATGAGAGTAGATGCAAGCTTCTTCGCACAGAACAATAAAAAATGTCTCGATCGCATTTCAAAGGTTAAATACAAATCAGCTGGTCACCCTTATCGTTGACTCAAAACCATTGTCCGTCTTCTGCCACGTGGAAAATTTTGGCTGTGGAAGAGGAGGTTGGACACCAGTAATGAAGATTGATGGAAACAAGGTATTTAGGGCGCGATTCTCATTTGATATTTGGATTTCGTCTTGCTGGCACTGGCAGTGTTCGCCATTGTAGAGAAGATGAGAATATCATCCAACCTATGAATGAAAGGACCCTTGAAAATAGTTATTCCTCTTCCACTGAAAACGCTTCATCATTAATTAAAGTTATTAGTGTAAAAAAACCATAACTTCCCTGGGAAAGAGGCGTTTTAAGTTATTTGTTTTTCGGGATTCCGTCAAATTGGATATTTTTCATCACCTGGGAATAAAAAGGTATGTTTCCTGGATAAAAAATAAATGCCTATAGATTGATTTATTTCGTGTTCTTCGGCAGGTAACTTTTCGTTATGACTCAGAGTATTGGGTCGATAAGAACACCTTCAAACTTGGTGGAGGAAAGACTGGGTTTGATTCACAGGAAACTAAATTACCGACGTACTGGAACACATCTTTCTCTAAAATTTGCCTCGGTATGAAGAACGGCCAGAAAAAAACATTTATTGGGATGAACAAACAGGCCGAGTCTCTGTACTCACTGATAGCTGATGGGAATTACCGCAATACGTCATTGGGACGTACCTCGTGGAAGAACCTGATTGGTTCAGATGCATCTTTGCAACGGAATTGTAACATGGAAGGATTTAATGCAGTGAGTAAAGATAGAAATTATGCGAAGGCTAGAATCGGTATCCTTGGCAACAACGAAGAGAATTGCGATTCTAGTGACTCCTGGATTGGGTTTGGTACAGGAGTGGTTTATAATGAAAATTTAACTTGTGGTAACTATGCACTAGCCAACCCAGATAATGGTGACAAAACCATAGGCACCATGGGATACATCCTCGTGCAGTGACCCTAGGTTAGGAGAATCCAACGGCTGTGGAACTTCGACTTTGATTCACCATTCTTACAAATTGTTCTAAATGACGTCACTATAGCCATTTGCACAAATTACGCCATACTTAAACTGAAAACAGCTTTCTGAAGAGAAGTGCGATACCAAATTTAGTAGTTTAAGGATTTGTTTCTCCGCTCAGGATCATAGCAGAGATCGAAGAAGTTGCATTATCAGGGATTTTTTGAAGACTTTTTTTATGTCAAATGCAGTAACGTTTCGTGGTTCGAAATTGTTAGAACATCTATGGTTACGACAAGCTGCGTAAAAACTGAAAGCTTATGTATTCTTTAAATTGTGTAAAATTTGATGCTTTTCATTAAGACAATCAATCAAATGCGACTGTAATTCAAATCATTCGATACAGTTTAAAGATGTGATAAATTTGCGATATTTGAAAATAACTCACCTATGTTTAACCTAATAGAAAGTGCACGAAAATTATATCGTTATAACAGTGCAGTCGACATTTTTGTTTCGTTTACTAGAAACGAAACGAGGTTATTTTGGCTGCAAGGTGAACTGTTCACTTAGTGGGGTAGAGCGGCTAATCGAAATGAAGTTTTTAATTAATAATGTAAACAACTTCAAGCTGGAAAGAAGCTCTGAAATCTCTGACGAAGGGCTAACGCTCCAAACGTCAGCTTTAGAAACTCTTTACGGTGGCTAGTTTCTATCATTAACTCAGTTGATAAAGCCAAATTAACCTTGAAAAACAAACTTATGAACACACGATCTTAAGAGATCGCAAAAAATATATGAAATGATAACAGAAGGAAAGCCAATGTATCACAAATAAAAACTTTAGACGATTTAGTGATTTTAAGTTGATCGAAGCTTTATCTTTGTCGAGCAATGCAGTATTGTCTTTTAATTGGTAACGTCTTGACATCGAACCAAGCAATAAACCATTGCAACTGAACCTTTAAGTTCAGTGACTTTTACTTGCATACTGATATTACATGAAAGCGTGTTTACAACAAAAAGTGATTTTCTAAACATCCTCCATAACTCGTACACTGTGTAACAGAATGAGTATTATGGGAGGCCTGTGGTCAAGAAGCGATGTAACATGTAAACTATTAGAAATCAAGAGATCAAGAGCTGGTAAATTTCTCCTAGATAAATCTTCTAGCTTAAGGAATATGTTGCTCTTTTTCCTAACATTTAGATGGGAACACCACGACATAAATATATTCAAGAATATCTCTCTGTTAAGTAAAGACTGGCCACCCTTTTTTGTTCGTGTATTTTGAGTCACCAAACCACATCTTCGTTCCCAAGGTCCACTCAATCAAATGTTTCTTCATTCGGATCATTATTGAGCCCATCTTCGTTTCCATAGTAATCAAATCCACGGTTTACATTTCATTTGATTACTCGTGACCTCGATTCAATTCACCCTGGATGTCGCCAGCTTGAAATAGTTGGTGATTTGTCAGAGCTTCTGGCTACAGAGAGCTCGTACGACATGCACGGAACCACTATCTCCTTCGCAGTCATTCCTTGGGTTGTAACGTAATGGAAGCGTTGCTTAACATCTTAAGAACGACGGAAGCACAAAGGAGATGGTTTTGTTTGTAAATACGGACACTATCTATGGGGTAGTCGGTAAACTGTTCCCTCAACTAACAGGGGATGTTGCTGTCCCTTATGCAGGCGAGAGAGCCGAACCTACAAGACCGTAAAAGAAATCGTTCAGAAATTTATTTGGTCTTAATACAAAAAAGGAATTACAAATAGTCAGAGCGCTGCTTCTGCTAGATGCTTTATATGAAACGCATCTTCCATTGAGCTATTGTAGAAGAAATTTTTAGAATTTTTGCACCTCCTCTTCTCATACTCAGTACACACAAGCAGTAATTACGAGTCAAATAAATGATGGGTCACTAGATCAAATATGAATGTTAGTACCTTTGGTCTTTTATCTTGTTCCGTCATGTAACCAATACACATACTCTCTGTAGTGTGACCCCAGACAAGATCAACCGTACAATCTTAGGCAAAAAAAAGAGGGAGAACACCAATAGAGAGGCACGTCTGCTTCATTTAATGAGAATACAATAATGTGTGCGACTGTCAAATTACCTCATCAACATTGGATTTACCTGGGTTTCACATGTAAATGATGTTCAATTGGTTGAATTAAAACAAAAATACAACTACTTAAAAAATGTTAAGAGTGAAGAACACTCTGTGACGGAAATCAGAAGATTTTGTAACTTCACGTACTCTTACTTTCAAAATAACGCGTCTTCATTTAGTTGAGAAAAGAAATTACTAACGATAAGCGGTGATAACGAAAATTCGAAATCCTTTTTATCAAGGTAGGCTTACCATCGGCGGTCTCCTCTTCCTCCACTCGTAGAAGCAGCACCCCTCCTAACTTCTGCTCCACTGTTGAAAGGAAAGGTGACCCTAAAGAGATGTATACATGAAATATCAGAAAGTTTAAAAGTCTGTATATAATCACCTCGTAAAACAGGGCAATTCTTTTTCTTTTTTGGTTGATTTATTCTTAAGATGATTGGAAGCAAGAACAAGTCGCGCACACGACTTGTACTTTGTGTTCTCTTCGCATTCGCCTCGTACTTGACTATTCTCGCCTGAAAAACGCGAAAAAAAAGAATGAAACCTGCAAAAAATAACTAGCCGTAGAGAATATCCTAAGGGCAAACTTTCCCACGAAACAAAAATGGAAAATACTTCGAAGAATTCCAATTTCAAACATCTCCTACTCCATCCGGAAGTGATTGCCTAGCAGAAGTAGATGGGAAAATGTTAAATTACAAAGTTAAAGTAGCACCTAAAAACACGTCCTCAAGTCCCTCCTGAACCGCACTGACTGCGTCCCTAAAACAAGAAACACAATTTTAAAAACATAGGAATGACAGAGAATAGCTTTACAGAGAAGAAACCGAAGACTAAACCTCAGGGGTTCATTGCCCTGGTTTATTTCAAGTGAGCGAAAAAATATATTATGTTTAAGGTTTTCGAATAAATATGTTTAGTCAAACGTGTTTTCTTGATTTTAAGTTCCAAACATGAATGCACATCAAGCACCAAAACCAAGATGAACTGTTTACACCTAAACATTCGCGTGCATATTCTCCATACTGTTCTCTATATATTTCGTAGGATGCTGACAAGGAGAATTTGTTAACAATCAATAGCTTCTTTAGGTGGTGATCATATCCTGTATTCTTGTGGCTTCATTGTGTGAATCAGGGGTGATAATGTTAGGAGAAATTAGATGCTAGTCATTCTGAGGAGTTAAAGGATCCAGAGCTCACCTTCTTGACGCCAATCTGGCACACTCTTTGGCCAAAATGGACTTCATCAAATGTTCTCCACAACCTACATACATTCAAAATTGCTATTACACAATACATCTGTTTAAGACCATCAGTTTAATGATCTGATCATGAATTCTCTATCTGGCTTCTATAAATTTCCTTGTTAATTAGTTGACAGAACTTGCCAAACTACACATCAAACTAACACATCATGACAACTTAATCTGTGTAACTGATGAGTTTGTGTATTTTCATCAACTGTGTCAATAATTTGATTGATTTTCTGTGAAAAAAAGAAAAAGAGCAGAAAAACTGCCGATTCAACAAACTAAATAATTCAAACCTGATGTACAACAGGCCACTCCAACTTTGTTCATTTGACGACTTGTTGCCCAGCAGCCACAGCCATAAACACTTGCCTAATACAAGAACATTTTACAAAAAGGCATACTTTGTTTTTGGTGAGAAAAAAAAAGGGAATTCTCTTCAGACATTCCCAGTGGGAAATCAGAGTTCACTTATTATAACCTCCCATATATTCTCTGAAAAAAAAAATCCTAACTTTGTATGGAGCAAGCTTTTTATTCACCTGACCAATACGACCCGGTGTTTTATAAATAACACCACCACTGGAAACACCAGCACAGAGGTGTCCATGCCTGTCCATACAAACTGCACCAACAGTGTCCATGTGGTTACCCTCCTGCAAGGAAATGGATTAGTATTAAAAAAATAAGTTTCCAAAATCTCAAGGTTGCAGTTGTCCTTAGGAAACATACTACTTCTTGCTGCCTCTCTTGAACTGAAGGGTTGAAGAAGCTTGTTGAAAAGCTTACTATTATCAACAATGAACTAGGATCTTGTCCAGCAGGACTGCCAGTATGCACTGTGAAATTTATGTAAGTATGTGACTAGATGCTTAAATACACATAGTTATGCTTAATCTAACTAAGTTTAGCCAAAATCACACACTAAGGTCAACATGTAACCTCCTGTTACTTACATTTGATACATTACACAGGTTTTCAAGTGGACATGGCTTGGATTTATAATCTACATCAGATAACTCTAATCTTGACTTGCATCTTTTCCATGTTTGGATGCTTTTGTCTTAAGAAAAAAGAAATAGCAAAACTGCAACAATTTTATAATAGGAATGTCAGAAATTACCAATGACAAGTCTGTCTGCCTGGGCATGTTATATAACCAGTAAAACAATACAGCTGATCAGCCCATTCAGTTATTATACATCTTGTGCAAGAATTGCATATTTTTAAGTGCCAGAAGTGTCTTTTAGGGGTTGCTTAAACAGAAAGAAAATTGCAAAAGAACTAGTTTGTCAGCAACGGTTGTTCCTTAAAAATGATACAAATATCAGAAAAGAGGATCTTTACAACAACAACAACAACAAAAAAAAAACTCAGAACCACAGACTTCCTTCAATTTTATACAAGATTTCCTATTTAATTGAGTTGAAAATGGATAAATACATTTTCCACAATATTTTGAAAAAGCAAACTCTAAAAATTAATACAATTTCTTTAGTGCTATATGAAATTTTTCTCCCAACACTACTAAAAAGATAATAAGGCAGAAATAGGGTCCATAGGATGGTTTTGTCAGATCAGGCACCACCAATCACACTCACCTGTGATCATGTCTTCATCACGACATGCAATGAAACCATGATCCAGTGCCCATAGATAAGCTCCTTCTCCTGCAAGAAAGCTGAAAAAAAAAGAAAAGATATTGCTTGAATGATTTCAAACTGTTTTAAAGTAACAATGTCAATAGGTGCAGCTGTGCAGTTAACATACTGATCATTAAACAAACAAAATGTTATAATTTTTAAAGCAACATTAAAAGAACAAATTCTTGAATCATATTGCCAGTCTTCAATGGCATGGAAGACAACAGTAAAGCATCCTTCATTAAAATTTTATTTTAAAGCCATCTCCTTGAGGGGGCAGTGTCAATCACTTATGATCTCTCACAAGAACAAGTATACCGGTATTTATCATGTCTTAAATTCCCATAAAAAGTACAAAAACATATCAACAAGAATAATACTTTGATTTGTCTTGAATATTTTTGTTTTTAGGGAGAACAAGGGAGAGCAATTCTTTTGTTTGGAGGGAAAGCTGATGAGATGGTCTACAAATCAGCTTCAAACACAAGAATATGTTGCAATATTAACATATTCATGATAACAATAACAACATACATTGGAGAAATAAGACCCAAAACGGATGGTCCTGACATGTCCCCCTCCAACAGTTTACCAGCTACCTGAATAGGATTCCTTATTCCTGGAAAGCAAGATAACAAATCAGTTTTTCATTAAAAAGTTAATGGAATTACTCATGTGTATGGGATCCTTTCTATCACAAAGAGGCAAGCACAGAGTAGCAAATCAATTTTCTTTCTTAAAAAGGTAAAATGTACAACCAAGTTCTCTTTTTTTGTAAGAATAAAAAAGCAACACAGTTGAATATATTATCATGATTATTATTATGATCATCATCATCATTATTCTATAAAATTCACAGCCTAACATTGTAAAGTGGTTGGTCTGTTTGTATTGTTGCTACTTCATAACATCTCCAATTGGTAACAACAGTAACCTGTAAGAGATTTTTGCTGTAAACACATGACAGTTATCTCAAAGGCCCCAACATTGCACTTGATCTTCAACTGGTCCCAGAATTACACTGTATGGGAGCTTGCTCTCAATTTGATACTCAATCCTTCAGTCAGTTTTACAGTCAGCCTATCAATCTGAACTTTCCTTGTCAATTCTTCTACCAGTAGTTTCAGGCCTTACTCAAACCCAGATTACACAAGTGAACACATCAGATCATCAGTACTTTAACGATAAAAAAAATTTCCTCCCCTCACTGACCCTTAAGAGCACCAACAGCTCCAAATGCTGAGGAATTCCCATCCATTATACTTGCATCACACTCTACTGTTCCTGATTTGGTTAAGTTAGAACCAATCCCTGCATTAGTGCAAGGAAAATCCTGAACAAAGATAACAAATTGCCGACAAAGTTGACCAACAAAATAATGGCAGACATTGTTTCCCTTGAGGGTACATTTCTAAAAGTATTTGTGGTGCTGAGTCAGTAATGGGTATTAAAAGCTAATTTGATTAATTTAAGGTAATTGGAAGATAAATTGATCACTGTTAAGAGATTCTAAAGCTGACGTATCAAGTGTTAAGCCTCAGTTGGAGCAAATCCTCTGGTATGTCACACAGAGTCAAGTCAAGTGTTTGGTAATATCCTTCCCCTCTTACAAAGACACACAAAATATGATCAAGAGAAGAAAAACTGTTCTAAAAGTAGCCAATTGATGCCATGTATCTTCTAACTTGTATCATGCTGATAGCTATTTCATTAATATCTGGATTCAAATGTGCAGTAACTTCTACCTCTAAAGCTGTTATTGCAGTGATCACAACATCTTTGGCTGAGGATCCCTGTTTGATAGCTTTCATGGCCTGGAAAGATAATGATCTGCTGAATAAACTATATAATTTTCCTTAAATTTTCAGTCCCTATCAAACAAACAGCAAATGAGAAATACATAGATTGTCAAGTAGGAGTTACTGTGTACCTGAGTTACAACAGCAAATGCTCAGTTCTTGCAAAAAAAGAAATATCATGTTAGGAGGATCTACTTCAGAGGTATACAGGTTAAAGATTTGATTATAATTTATACCTCGGCACATGCAGCTCTGCAGGCCTGTTTGTACTCATTTTCGTGTGAAACAGAATGATACCCAGCACCTGAAATAATAAATTTGTTATTGTCACTTACCAATAACACAACATGTGTCAGAGATAAAAGCGTTCTTGAAAAAATATTTCTTCTGTCAAAGAGGGACAAATGTTCCCGCTTTTTTAGTACCAGAAGATTGGGGAAAAAAACTTTTCAAGGTATTTGACTACTTTTTGTTTGAGTAACTCTGAGTATTTATAACAATTTTCCTGACATGTTCAGTTTTCTTTCAATAAACTGTAAACAAGTTTACCAATTGTGTTTGTTAGATTACTGATAGCTGTAAAAATTCCTTTAACACATGTCAGTAAGTGAACATGCAGTATGATAGTTCACTAAAAAAGTTTCCCTTACTTATTTGTTGCTAAGTGACAATACCAAGTATGCCAACTTGTGATAATATAAAGCCTGAAGATGTTCATGAAGTATATTCAAAAAATGAAATAAAAAGAAGATATTAAACCTTCCATGGACACAATTTTCTCAATCGGTTGGCACTAGAGATAGAGTTAACTTGATTTTATATCTCTTGTTAAGGAAAATTAGCAAATATACTTACATCCAAGAGATCTGAACATAATAATAATAGTAATGCTTTTTCAACCAGAGAAATTCGTAAATGATTCATCACAGTCTGGTGACAGTTTGTAATAATAACGATCAGTCACATTATGACTTTCAGTGTTATTAAATAAGCCTTCCCCTCTCTAATCAGCTTGCACCCCCAGCTCTCTCATGCGGAAGCACTGTGACTGACTAAGCTACCACCCCCAACACACATATACTGGCTAGTGTTTCTGACAATCAATCATGAGGCTATCAATGGTTGTCTTGTTCGAAGAAACCCAACTGCTTTTTCAAGAAGTGTGTTCTTCAAGACTAAACAAACTTGAAAAAGAATGCCTTGTGAGAATAGTTTAGAATAGTACTATCGCTAAACATTTAGTAGACATACATTACCAACATGAACTGCTATAAATCCACGACCAAAAAGATTGAATTTATCTTGCATGTTGCTACACATTTTTTCTTGCTCTAACAGAACTCTAATAAAGTTTAACCTGCACAGTAGGCTATCTTTTGGCGGGCGAGTGCTAAATATTACGCTCGCACGATGAGGCCGCCATATTGGATTGGTGTCATCAGAGGGAAGCCTGGAGAATGGAGCAAACAACCATTGAGGGAGGAGTGGGGGGAGAGTTTTGGCTCATACCTGACATGGGCGCGGGAAAAAGCAACGAGGACTTTTAGGTGGCCCAAAAGGACTAGCTGCAGCCAGCAGTGCTAGATCGAGCACGCACGGGTTTTTTATGTGGCTACTGCTTTCCTTTTCGCAAGGCACCCGCTTTATGTTATGATGTAGTGTAAGTCCGTAAACTTCCATCTAAGGACATCCAAAGCCCCCACGGTTTTCAAAATCGCAAACTATCGTGGGGCAAAGTACTTGTAACGCGGGAGAAAGTTTACGCGCGCAAAGGAATTGAAACGACAATATTTCTATGATAACAATATTGCAGCAAAATGGCGGCATATTGAAATTCCCACTGTTTGTTTTCCTTTCTAGTGGAAAAGCTTAACTAAATTTGATTGGGTTGCTGTATACAGGAGGGTTTCTATCGAACATTTTCCGTCACATATCTCAGCCAACAAAAAACGAAAAACGTTGCAGTAACAGGCATGAGTTCAGGGACTGAAGACAAGCATTCGCAACATAGCTACAAAGTTCGTAGCGACTAGTATCGCTTCAGTTGTCTAGACAAATTTAAAACAGCGTATTTGGAACTATAATAAAGAGAATGCTAGGTAACGTTTGGATCTATCCATAAGAACAAACTGTATTAAATCATCCACCTCGCTCATATCAATAACAATCCATAAAGAGTAAAACGATGTTTTTTTAGTTCCTGGACGAAGTTCATTCACGCAGGAACGGGCCAAAGCCGCCGAGCACGCGCACTCGTTTTACCGCTTTGTCTCGAGAAGAGTATTACATGCATGTGGAAGAACGTTACCTATCGTCATTTCTATTCTCGCTGTATACAGAAACTCTGTCACCATGGAAACGGCCTCGCTTGTAACGAGTCCTCCAAAGGTTATGCATGCCCATGAGTATTACAAATGAATAAAATGGTAAGTTTCTAAAGAAACTGTGGTGCTGCGTCGGTGGGAGAGTATAGCAGGTAATTTAGTGTTAACAACTGAGTTGAAAACGTAAATTAGCCACCGTAAAGGGTAAAAAAGCTGACGTCGGCTTTTTTACCCTTTACGGTGGCTAATTTACGTTTTTAACTTAGTTTTTAACCCTAAATTACCATGAGTATTACATAGCGACATTCCTATCCTCCCAGTATGTAGGAAGTTTGTCTCCATGGAAACGACCCGGCTTGCGTCGAGTTTCCCAAAGCTCAGTGTTGGAGCATTCGAAGCACTAATTAATTTCCGACACTTATTTGGCTTTTCGATAAAATTTCCGCACAGCCCCATACTACTATAAACAAATCTGTTTTTCCAACGGCGATGTACTGTTTTGTCATTGTTTTCTCTCTCCAAGAACTGAATGCTTAATGTAGTATGGGGCTGTGCGGAAATTTTACCGGCTTTTCTAGACATCAAAATTTCAATTGCACTCTGCACTAGTCTTTACCTCAAACCTAGAGATTCACATAGTTACTTGTGGTATTCATCTTCGCATCCATTACACGTCATGAATGCCATACCTTTTTCACAGTTTCCCAGACTTCGTTGTTCATGAAGTGACGACTCTGATTTTTCCGATAAATCAGAGGTAGTGCGCTAGTTTTTCGACAAACGGGGTTATCCCGTTTCTTTTGTTCAAGCGGGCTGCCACCGCGCCAAACAAATTGATTGACAGTCAGCGCTACAAACGGCTGAGAAGGAAAATACTGATCATATTTCATTCACTCTCAAATTTCACCTTCACAACCACGCAATTCAATCTATCGTTCTTAAAAAAATGAAAGTATTTCAAAACGATTCAGAGACTGGCACTATCTTTTCACAACCTCCACTTTTTGGTTAGAAGTTCATTCAAACCAGTGACCAACCTGGAACTTTCAAATGCGCTCGCTCACGTTGCAAAAATTATCCTTTTATTCACGACGAAGAGAAAATGTCGGGACCCGAGAGATCCACTGGACACTTTAATCTACCGAATCATTCTAAGCAACATATGGCAGTTTGGGGCCTTTCCTACATCTAGGTAGTTCGGAAAGCCGTAAAACTCTAGAACAAAAATTTATCATGCAAATCGGCACCCTTAATCCCCACGGTATCAACGAGCGCTTTTTATTAAACTAATTTATTCTTGTTTTTACTTACTTATATTCCCAACAATACCCTCGCTCCTTTTTCTGCATAGAAACCCACACACAACCCACAATTCCTCCAATCTCTCTGACAGTGGGCTAACGCTCGAAACATCAGCTTTTAAACTCTTTACGGTAGCCAATTTACGTTATCAACTCAATTTTTCATTACCCTGTAATACTCTCCCACCGACGCAGCACCACAGTTCCTTTAGAAACTTACCTCCTTTATTGATTTGACCTAGTTTAATGGCCAAGCTTCTAACGAGTAGTCTATAGCTCAGAGGTAAGAGTTCAAATTACTTATCAGAAGTTCATAGGTTCGAATCCTTTTAAGAGCACTCGGAATTTCTTTTTTCGCCGAACGTGCCAGTGTCATTTACTGAATAACATAAAGCGTTTATCAGCGAAACCAGGATTGATTGATTCCTGGCTATGTAATAGAGAAAAAAAGGGGGAAGCAGAGGTATTCTAGCACTGGTATTATCTTCTCTGACCAAGGAAAAGCTTAAACCTCGGAAGCATTTAAAAAAATTCGAACTTATTGCATTCGAAGTCAGAACGGGTGCAAACAATATGGTTATTCTACAGTGTGAACATTGGAAGTCATGTAAGTTCCTGCGGGACGGTGAGCCGAGGTTGTGGCTTCCCATCACACACGACAAACAGAAGTAGTTTTACAAGTACGATCCACACAAAAAAATTGCACTTAAGTTCGTTTGATTAAACGAGTCTTTAAACTCCTGTTTCGGGAGCATTATCGTTCTTAAACCTCGATCCTGACCTTAGCGCATTTGCTGTAAACGCAAAGCAAACGAGGAAATTAGAGTTTGAGCCGAATTAAACTACATGATATGGCGTAAAGTAGAAATAGTTTTATAGATACAAAAACGATGCACGATTGAAAGCAAAATTTACACAGTTTCATTTGATTTAATTAGTATCTGCACTTCTGTTTCGGGGCATTTCATTACAAGGGTTTCGAGACAAGGGTTGACTTTGTACCCACAATTACAGCTCAATGTCAACCCTTACCTCGGGACCTACAAACTTGATTACAGTACTTTTACATCATTAAGTGGCCCCTCAGTATTATCTCGAATCCTTCTCAACAGCACGTGACGCAAAGACCTTGTGATTGTCGGATTGATTACTCAGGGGAACACTAGCAATATTTGCCCGCGAGAGCTGTGAGAAACTCAGTGCGCATGCTCAAAGCGACATTTGGCCCTTACCGCAATCTAAGGTGGCGGAATGTCAATGTCAACTAGGAAGGTGAGTTTTGTACGGCATTCAGTGACCCTTTTGCTATCTTCCAACGTTGAATATGTTTGAAAATCAACACCATAGTTTTCTTTAGTTAAGGAAAAGGCCATTGAATCTTTTTAAGGTGGGTTGCCGAGCAATTCAACTATCGAACGAAGCAGTTGTTCAACTGATCATGACACACTTGGCAGACTGCTGGTGTGACAAGAAAGACAGAGTTAAATGAAACCGAGCCCAGGGTTGTAACCGAGCCACCTGAATGACATGGAGGTAGTATGCATTTACGTTTTGAGTCCTTTGGTATCATAGTGTTGGACTATTTGAACGTTTGAAGCTCCTTATCCACGTGCGCTGCGATTTACGTGATACTACAACAGCAAGAATTCAAATAAGGTCATTCCGAACTTGTTCAGGTTTGAATTATATTCTTTGAGAAATTTATTGTAGATGTCAATTAATTTTCCGAGATAACTAAAGAAAGATATAGTTCTGTGACAATGTTTGCGTTGCAACACATCTCGGCAGTCTTTGTTGCTGACCAGTTCTACCCTCTGATGGTGATGCTGCTGAATTATCAAGTGTTATGGCAGACGAGGCAAGGAAGCAGGGTTCAGCCGATTTGGGATTATTGTCGTTGTTGCTCATATGATATGATTGTAGAGGTTGGACTGGTGACTCAGGTGTCTTTCCGATCTTGCTTGTTTCTTCAGCATACTGTTCTATTCCCAGTGTTACCTGTATATGACTGCTCATTTAATCTTGGTGTTACTTGGGCTTCAGCTTTGATTTATCTCCTGGTTTGAAGGGTTTCATTCTCCTCTTGATTTCTCGAGTCAAACTGGGGTCTCTCAAAGGTCTCAATTAGTTCATGTATGGTGTATTGGTTAAACTTCTCAATAACCTTTCTCAGGTTATCTCTTCTGGATTGTCAAATTGAAATCCATTGAAAATTTTTGATGCCTCTACGCTTATACAACATGGAAAGGATGCTACCTTGTATTGAGGTGGTTGTGTGCTAAGGTTGGGAATGGTCACATAGTTTTTCCAAATTTGTTTCCAAACTTTCCAGTTTTAGTAAGTCTATATTGAGGTTACCCACTTCACTACAAAATTGCTTTACAAAGGGGTCCTCCCAACAAGAAAAGAAAGTTTACAAGACTTAACTGAAGAAATGAAATAATTTATGCTAAAAAAACTTACGTGTATTCTTAGTATGGTGCTTTTAAATTTGTCAATATTCTGGAGCCTTCTGACTGATATGTCTTTGTTGTTACAATGGTTGGCTACAAAGGCTAAGGACTTTGGAAGACATCAGTTGCTGTTGGACGCAGTCTTACCTACATTGTCCTAAAATCATTGTGTTGTAATTATGATAATCACTATCAAAAGCACTGTGGAAAGTATGTGCAAAGTAATTGTTGAAGCACTCATATGTCAAAGCATATACAATGTACAATGTCTGGCACACTCCCATCCTAGTTTTTTCTGAGGCCTCAGTGGCCAATGTCTGAGGTGTTAAGTTTTAATATGAGCTGCTTTGTCAT